TATACTTAAACATTATTTTTACTTTTCTTTTCTTTTGTTTCATTTATTTATGTGTTTATTTTGCAGATTGCTGAAGTCTAGCCAGCAAAACAAATTAGGTAATGTTTGAAAACTACTTGGTTAGGGTTAGGAAAAGTTAATCTACACTATGAAAATGCCCCCCAAAATGATCCTATGTATATTTATCTATGCCTCATTCTCTGAAGTTGTTTTCTCAAAATAACTACTCTCATGGCAGTCAAAGATTTTTTTTTATACCAGTATATTACAGTTAAAAGGTCTGATTTCATGACAGTTTACATTATACATAAACTGTATACATCAAGAAGACTAGTCACAGAAATGAGCCATGAGCCACAGGGGGCCAAGATGGTGTAGAGGCAGGGCAGCCGGCTTGGGGCCCAAAAGTCCCAGGTTCGATCCCCAGTCACTGCACATCACATGGCGTCTCTGGGCAGCACACCTCATCCCCAAAATGCCCCCCAGGTGCCTTCAATAGCTGCCCACTGCACCACCTGGTGGTGGATGGGTTAAATGCAGAGACCAATTTCGCCATTGTATGGAAACATAAAGTGCTGACATTGTGATGACATTATTATTATTATCTGCTCGTTTTTATACTCCTCTCAGCTCAGAGTTCAGCATAGTACAGGAGGAGTCCTTGAAAGCCAACTGTAGTCTTTTTTACATAGAATTCTCCATTTACACCAACATATGGTTCATGGGGAGAGATAAGACAGTGTTTTTTGAGACGGCTTTGGCTTGTATTCTTGTTCTCAACCATAATAAATGAAAAAATCCATAACCTTTGACCAAAAATTCCCTGAAAATTCTCTTGGAAAAAGTGTCAGTAAAACATGTTAAGCTAGACATAAGACCAAACAAATTAGCTGTGTTTACTCTTTTGCATGGTACTACTTTTAATATTTTTTATTAACACTGTATACAATAAGTGTTTTGTGCATTTTACAACCAGATGCAGGTTTGCATGCTCTTAGGTGAGAAACATGAAAAACAAAATCCATCAATCTATCATCCATCCATCCATCCATCCATCCATCCATCCATCCATCCATCCATCCATCCATTACCTTTTACCTTTTACCCACTTCTTCCTTTTTGAGTCATGGGGGGTCACTGGTGCCCATCACTGTGCAAAAGGTGGGGTACACCCTGGACAGGTCTCCAGTTCATCACAGGAACACATAGAAACAAACGAGACAAACAACCATTCACTCTCTCACTCACACCTAGAGACAATTACCAGTCAGATTAATATGCATGTTTTTGGTCTGTGAGAAGAAACTGGAGTACCCAGAGAAAATCCACACATGCCCAGAAAGAACATGCAAACTCCACCCAGAAAGGTACCTGGCTGGGATTTGAACTGGCGACCTTGCCGAGAGGCAACAGCTCTACCAACTGAGTCACTGTGCTGTGACAAACATGACAGCAAAATTACCTTTTCCTCCTCCCGGTCCGTCCTGCCACTCTCTTACGCCATCCAGTGAACCTCACCTACAATACTCACCTTATTGGAACCTGGACTCTAACCTCCAAGCCTGATCACCTACAACCAGAGTAAGCCTCCTCTGTTTATATCTACACCTTCCAAAAGATCCTCTGCCTTAAAGAAAACATTTACTGTCTTCATTCTGCTTCCACAGATACTTACCCATTCCTTCCCAGGTCCAGCCCTGTAAATATTGTAAATACATTTATTTTTATCCCTTACGGTCAGTCTCTTGAGTCTTCCTGAGTTTTCAGTTAAACATATTCTGAGAAAACTAGTAATATAAATGTAAGAATGTCTCAGCCAAGAGGCTCAGAGTTAACAGAAACCCAGAAGAATCATCAATCTTTAGTTACCCAGAGTAAACATATCAGTGGATATGAACTTACTGTGCACCAGAACTGTTTAATGGTAATCCTAATTCATGTAGAGGTTTTATCTTACAGTGTAGAAAGGATTTTAATCAAGTTGCACAGACGTATACCACTGAGGCTGCCAAAATTACATACCTGCTCAGTTAGTTACACTTATTTGCGTTCTCATCCCATTGAACAATTACTTTATCTAACTTTTCTTGAAGGTTTCCAGAGAGTGTTTGATCATTCTCTCCACCAGGTAAAGGCAGCCAAATATCTACTCACCTTCAAACAAGGAAAACCATTTGTGGCTGAAGATTTGATTCATTTCTGGATCCTTTATGAGAAGTAATATCAGAGTTCATCTAGATAATTTAAGATCACTATTTTGGCTGATGTAATAGTGAATAACTGACATGTTTTCAAGGATTCAAGGAGACTTTATTGTCCACATCACATGAGGTGGAACAAAATTGTGTACTCAAGGTCTTAGTTACACCCAAAATACAATAATATAAAGTATTACAACAGTCTACAAGGATCTAAGATATATGCTAAACAATAATAATATAATAAAGTGTATTAAACAGCAGCCTGACCATGAGTATGTTATGAGCAGATGGGTATGAATACAGCATCTTATGGGTAAGAATCAGAAGCATGAAAAATCAACAGCACAAAGTGTCAAATGTCCAATGAAAATGGCATTACAGTGATTTGTCTGGTTATAAATTTAAGATTCTTACAGCTTCAGGGTAGAAGATGTTCCCCACTCCAAGTCATAACATGTTTCCTGGTTTGAACACGTTTGTGAAGCTTGGTGTTCAGATATAAGAAGAATATAGCAGAGAATTTCTCTTTAAAACCATGTTAGCTGAAAATACAGTGGATACAATTATTAGAAGAGGCCTGAAAATGACAAGAACACAAGTCATGTTGGGAGATTAAACAAAACAAACCTAATTACATGTAAATAATACATTTGATTTTGTAAATAGTGTGCAGAGGAATTACTGTGGACATTAGGTGCATGGCAGAGACCCAGAGACAAATGGTCCACTGCCAGAATCTAAACCACATCAAGAGCTGGCAGAGCATAAACAAATCCTGCAGTCAGGGAAATTAACTTATAAGGAGTGTGTAAGCTGCAGCCTTATCATGTTTAACTCACATTTAGAAATCAATAAGGTACGCATGTATTTAATCGAGCCGACATTTTCCCTTAGCTCATCCAAGTGTTTTTTATCTGAAACTATTAATCGTGTTTGATTGTGTTCAACGTCTGGAAAAAAGTGTCACTGGCTTTAAAACCTGCAAATGCAAAGAACCACATAGAAAGCAACTACCCAGGCAACAGGAAAACACATGGCTGTTTCTAAATAAATATTTTTTAGTTTTCTGCAAAACTTTCTCTCCTGACATCCAAGTTTCATTCCACAGTAGGAGCACCAAGCAGCTCTTGATCCTGGATGGATTTGAAACATGGCCT